TAAGCCTACTCATATTCAGCAATGATATATACATAATTAAACATAAGTATAACTTTCATAGACAGTGGCATAAAAATGCAAAGACAGAAAAGGAATAAAAATATTAAGAAAATATGAGCAAGATTGTCTGGACTGAACTTTTGAGTTGCAAATTGTCGTTGCTGGACTCACTGGAGTGCAGTCCAAGTTAAATGCAAATATATGAAAACATAGACTATGTATGCAAGCTGGGTGTGGATGGATAACACAAAAGAAAACTAAGATACATTAAATGAAATGAGGTAATGGAGCTGACCTGTATTGTCTCGTATAATCTGCCCTTCCTGCTGTCCTCACTGTGTAATTTACAGACACGTGGAATTTTCTTCATTCCAAATCAGCAGCTAGCAGCTGCATTACCTTTGCAGCTGGGACTCTGAAAGTTTTGTGGCTGCCAAGTCTTTGCAATAGGAAGGACACCCATTCTGGGACCACTTGAGTGGGAGAATGGTCATATCTATTCTGCTTTTCAGGTAACTCATACGAATGTAAACACACGTGCCAGAAGCCATTGCGAGTGCATGAATAAATGGCACCAGTCAGACTGATCTTTACTGTTTGTTGAGTCTTAAGAAAAGAAAGGGTAGGGAGAAAGGCAGTTAGAAATTATATTTGCTCTTTAAAAACACAACCAAACCCTAGATATTCTCTAACAAAGCTATGCTTGGGGAATTACTCTCTTTTTAAAACTTTTCCAGTGTTGTGTGAGGGCTGTGTATCTGTAGATTTTGACCCAACAGGCAGAGTCAAATTCATTGAGTTCATCATAAGCACACTGCATTCTGCCATGATATCAAATAAAGTTCTAGATTTCATGATTAACAAAGAGTATCATATCCTCTGACCCCAGAAAAACAACATTTAGTTTCTTGGTTATGAGATCTCAGCAGGCCTTGCTTGTGACAAGAGTAAAAGTTATTTTCTCTCTATGTTATATTTCTTAAGAAAATGTTTTAAAAATCACTTGAAGAACCTAAAAGGTCATTTGAAAGTCTTATTTTTATTGTCACTGCCTCCAAAATACATTCCATAACTCAGTTTAATGTGATCTGCAGCAGGCCAAGAGTTTTACAAGCCAAGATATTATGTCTAGTCCAGTTAGAGACACGACAGAGTTCAGTGAAGCAGGGAGAGTGAAGATCTAGTATGAGAAATGCAATTTTGCATTGCCAGTAAAACATGGAAGGAAAATATCTCCCTCCATTCAGTTTTGATGACTGTGTTTGTGACCTAATGTAGAAGAACCCTACCAAGCATTTTATGAGGAAACATACAAATGACTGAGGACATCTGTTTAACAGAATGTCAGGACAAGGTTTACCCACCTCCCTGCTCTTGTAGATAACTCAGCTTTCTCCTACCTTCATCACCCACAACCCTCCATATTCTACAAACCAGTTCAGAGAAAGGTGGGGCTTATTCTTATGCTACTATAGATACTACACCCATCCATTGTATCTTCAGATGAGGAAATGTACTGTAATTTGTACATATTAAGTATAACTTTTATTTAAAGAGACCCTTTATCAGAGTACTTTCATCCCTCTAAGTACATAATACTTCAAACTACAAGTGGATTTAGACTGGCCTGTTGCATTGTAGGGACAAGAATTCCCTTATTTGAGTCTGGACCATGATTCTGTCAGCTATTATCCTTCCAGTTGCCTGTTGAGGGTGGACAGTTTTAATCTTACCAGTAGCTAGAACACTTTTCAGTATTTGACCGCACCCACTTAGTTTATACAAGTCAGCAACTGTCAGTTTTCATGGGAATTATTCTGTCACTGAAAAGATTTTTCACATCTTTGCTTTTTATTAATTATTTTCTTGCCAGTCTCATTAAGACCACCAAAGTCCTACATTGTTTGGAATTGTTTTCTCCTAACTGCTGGCCTTAAAACCTTAGGTCACTGGAATATGTTAGATCCAAGTTATCATTCTTTGTATTACAGGAGAGCTGAGATAAGTTAGAATAATCAACTGAGGAATATTTTGTTTAATGACAGCTGCGTATGTCCAGCTACTCATTGAGTATTGTCATTCCTACTTGTTTTGCAGTGGCACAAAAAGTATAAGTCTGGGATTGGCCTCTGTTGTGTAAGTCATACAGCAGACTCAGAACAGAGCACTTGTCCTTGTCACATGCTGCTTGCAATATTTTTTTTCCTCAGTCACCAAAGGGTTCATGCACAAGGACCTCAGTCCAAGACTTCAATATATTTGATAGGTAGGCATCTGGAGTTTTAGAGAGATATCTTGTCTAATGTAAAGAAGATTCCTTATTTGTTTCATGAAGATAGTTCTACTGTGGTATGATTTCTGAATTGAGAAACATAATTTTCTTCAAAGAAACCTTTATGTTTCTGTGAATCCTTTTGGCTTTTCCTAGTAAACTAGTAATCCTGTCACTCAGGCTAATGGAGGAATTTAAACAACTGTATTCTGCTGGCTGGAAGTTATAGAGGCACACATTTCCCTTTCAGTTGTTAAATACAGTCTCAGCCCAGTTATTTGTGCTGTAGTAACTGTACTCACCTAAAGACAGTTGTTCTAGATTTATCTCGTCATAAATAAGAGCAGAATTTTGCTTAGTCCAGTACATAATCAGAGTTAGCAGAGTACCTCTGTTCCTATTAATTGTTTACAAACAGGAATAACAATTCTGTTCTCTTCCTGTCTTACCATCTGACAAGAAGAAAATAGCTTTGTTTTACAGTGGTTATTGTGCTCAGTTAGCAAATGTGAGTGAGTGAGTGAATGAGTGAGTGTGTGTGGTCTGAGGGAGCTGGGGATATGTGTGAGGGCAGTCATGAGTACATTGGTTTGACACTTCTGCAGAGGTGTCTAAAACGTGGAAATTTGTACTGCATTTGGTTTTCCAGTTCACTTTTGCACCAGTGGGAAGTTTTCCAGAAATTCACCCTGTGAAAGTGTAGTCTCTTGTATGCATATTTTTTAACGTGACTCTACTGTCAGGTGGCTTAGCTGGCTATGGTCTATGTTTGGCTGCATGTTATAGAGGATATGGCAGTGCAGGCAGCTAAGCAGGTGAACTGCAGAGGGAAATATCTTTGCTTTTAATATAACAGAAATGTTTTTACTGCAGCTTTCTTGGATTTGTTCTTCCACTCCTGATATAGTTTATTTTGACACAGAAATAAGCACTGGGTGATTCACTGAGATCTTAAGACCCTACGACATTTCACAGCTTATGTCTAGAATTTAACATTCGTCATCATGGACATTTGGATGTCAAATTTGAGATGTGAAAAAGGGTGCCAGTCATGAGGACTGACTCAAAGGTCCTTCATGGGTATTTTTCACCTAGCAGACCAGAGCATTTTTTGAAGTTTTTTTCTCTTGTGGTAGTACTTTTTTAGTCTTTCCTAATCTTACCTTTGTCAGTTGCATTTAGCCCTGTAGTGCTTTAAGCTAAGTATAGTAAACTTGGAAGATGTTGCTGATGAGTATTGTAGGAAAAACTGAGTATTATAAAAAGCTGCCGTGCAGACTCCTGGTGGTGTCTAATAAGCATACAAATGCTGTGGGAGAAGGAGCGAGCTTTGAAAAACAATTTTCAACTGTTTTCAACTAAGAGTTTGATTATGGAGGAACAACTACACATATGGCATTTCCAGCTCATTTGATGAACCTTGGTAACTGATCAAAGTGGTTTGACTATCAAACATACAGCACATTCATTCTACCCGCATGGTATCAAATAGTCAACTACACCGTATTCTTCCGTTATCTTATCCCTCTGTTTTCTATGCCAGTCCATTCCCTTGTCTCACTCCTGCTCAACCCTTGAGTGTGACCACCCAGTTTCAGTTACATGAACTGAACATCTCGATAAGTTAGAGGTCTTGATTGTGCTAAATGACAGTAATGCAAGAAGTCCTTGGCCACTATTGACAATTGGTTTCTCTAAGATTAGTTGCCTCCAGACTTCACTATTGTGGAGCTCCAGCTATATTCTGTTCAACATTAAGTCACTGTTTATGCTTTGTGTGCGGCTTAAACTTCTCAATTTGCTTTTTGTATTTGAGGAACATTAAAATGGGGAGTGCACACCAAGTTTGTGTCTTGAATTAAAGCCCATCCACCTGAAAATCATGGCACCAGTAAAACTATGAGGACACTGATGCTCAGTGTGTGCAGTCGCACAGTCACTTGTTTCTGAATAAAAAAGGCAATCACAAGTTTTAAAACTTTTATGTCAGGGCTAGCATTCAGAATACTCTAAATAAAATTAATAAAAAAGATTTTGGCATACATTTATCATTTAAATTCAACTAAAATGCCACAGACTTAATGACAAATATGATGCAAATAGTGCTAGTGTGGGGGAATATTACAGAAGAAAGGGGTGCATGTATGAAAATAGTAGCTTTAATGATTTGAATCAACTATAAAGTAGTTAAGTTTTTAATCTTCTACCTTTTGGGGTGGGGTTTTTTCACACATTCAAAGGGTCTCATAGGATTTAATAGTGATAAATTCAATGGAGCCCTATAAAGATTGTAAAGGACTTTTAAAAGGGGCCTTAGAAAACTGTAAAATAATAGGGCAGATGATACTTTCTATGAACTGAAAATCAACTGATATAATCTCAGAGAAAAAAATCTTAAAATGCTGTGGTATTTTTCCTTAAAAGTTTTCATTGACTAAACATGAAATGACAAATGTCTTTTTGCCTAACTGGAGTTGCTGAGTACTTAATGCTCCCATGGATTTGCCATAGGGCATTACTCAGTGTTTCTGAACTTGAGTCCCTGAGTACATAGCAACTTTTGATTTGATTGAGCTTGCATGTTAACAGGGTTTTTTGCAGGTGAAAGTCTTGTGTAATTATCAATTCTAATTGTTTTCATTTTCTTTGTTGGTTTGTTTTTGTGGTTTTGTTTGTGTTTTGTTTTTGTTTTTTTTTTTACCTGCTTTTGGAATTCATGACCACCCAGTGAGAAGGACACTGAAAAGTGGGCTAACACCAGAAGAAGCCAAAGCACTGGGCCTCATCAGCACTTCTGAGATGCAGGTTTGATATCCCAGAGGTGGCAACAAGAAGAGCCATTCATCTGAAGCACACAGGCTGAAAACCCTTTGGTGTGGCATTGAGCTGCCAACCTCTTCTGCTGCTTCCCACATCCTGTCCTCTGTTCGTTCAATTTTAATAAGCAAAACTCCACAGCCAGGGCAGAAGAAGGGTGTGCCACAGCTCAGCATGTCATCTGAACAGTAACTGAAGAAGCATTTCAGTGCTTGTAGGTGAAAGCATATGGCTTCTTCTTCTCATGGTGTGTTGATGTGGGTAGGAGGGGGCTCTCTGAGTTATCTGTCATTATGTGAGCTGTGTTTACGTTGGCTTTTCTTGTACCCTGTTTTAGTCATGGTAAATGTATGGCATTTTGTCAATGCAAGGAACGGTCCTTAAAGAGGCAAAATAACTCCTGTTACAGCAATCCCAATTTTTCTGAAGAAGATTCATTAAGACAAGATGCACAGTCTGTGCAGCCCAGTGGTTTGTTGGTTTTTTTAATTATTTTGCCACCAAAGAATGTAAAAATGTATGTGTACCTTTGTATATGTACAGAATGAATGTGTGGACATGTGTATGTGTATCTGTACATATACAGTCATGGTGTGAAATCATGCTCTTGCTGAAGCTAGCTGGACCATGATTTTCACCGTGAGGCCTTACTGTTCCACCTGGACAGGAGGAAAAGAATGTCTTTTTCGTAGGAACTCAGTGTTGTTCAGTGGGATTCACCCTGTGGGGCAGGAGATGGCCTGCAATACAAGTGGAAAATTTAGGATCATTAATTCATATGTATTAATACACACTCATACTGTACATAGCAGCATGCACACAGAGGAGAGAATGCAATTCCTCCCTCTTGTTGAGCTATGGCTGTACTGTGCATTTGTACAGTTTCAGAGAGATCTGTGTCAACAATTTTACATACTCGATAAATGAATTTGGATGCTAAGATCAAGAAGTTTTGTTCACTTGCCTGTGCCCTTCATGCTGCTTTTCTCTGCTGCAAGATAATGTGGTGGTAATTTTTTTTCAAATTAATGACTCTGAATATGAAATAGCCCTGCTAAAAAGCCTGTTGTGTTTTTGCTGTTCTTTACTGGTTTTTTGTGATTATCCTTGATACAAGTGGAGTGGGTACCACGGTAAACAACTCCAATACATTTGCCCTTATCTCACTGTTTTATAACTGACTTTTATAACTACCCTCAGCATGTTTGAAGAACCTTTTGTCAACTCATCTGCCTTTAAGTGGAGGACATACGCAGCAGTGAAGATGAATTGAACACAGTCAACCCAGCCAGTGCTGAAGTATTTTGAAGAGAACTACAAACAACAATAGCAGAAAAGGGAACTTTTTAAGCCAAAGTCTGTATATGGCCATTTGATCCTCAATAATGCACAAGACTGTGTCTTTCCATTGCCTTAGCCTCTAAGATTAGGAGTGTGTCTGCAGAGCAGTAACAGCTGAGGCTTCCTTCAAGCCGGTTAACTGGGGAACTACTGCAGTTTAGTCATGGTAACAGGATTCAATTTTGGCTGCAAAACACACTTGGAAAATAGAATTAAATAATAGTCTATGCTGGGGTCCTAATGCCATAGTTGTGTTGCTTCTGGCACCCAGTCTAGGTCTACTCTGCTCTCAGTAAGGACAGGATAATTGCTGAAGATTGTTCAGGATAGTTGAACCAAACACAATAAGCCTTTGAAACTTTAGTCACCTATCACATCGCATTGAGCACAGCATCCAAGTGATGAGAGAACCAGGTAGCTGACAACACTGCAGTAAGGTCTGTGGTTGAACATCCCATTTATGCTGCCCACCCTCTTGATCATAATATTTCATTCTTTATCTACTGATGCCTTGGATCTTCCATGGAATCAAAAGTCACTAATGAGCAAAGGTTCTTAAGGACAGTATTAAGTTCAATGTTGTTTTCCCCTCAACTTGTTAAAAAGCCAATTTTACAAGTAGGCAGAAGGCAGTAGTTGGGTAATTAATAAAATATGTTGTGTATTTGAAAGCCATGGAAAGGAGAAAGCTGACTGGGAAATTGAAGTGGCACATAACTTATTTCACTGTAAAATATGCAGGACCTACAAGCATCTGGATTTTAAAGTGGATCTTTATGTGCTGCTCACCATTATGGACTTTTAAAATCTCTCTTAAGGATGCTTAGAACAAAGAAATGAAGGTAATGGGGGTTCGTGGAGGTCTTTGAAGTCTGAAACAAGAGGAAGACGCCCTGAATGTAATGGTTATGTTGAACTGTGCTACTTGCTAAGTGATAAAAGAAGCAGAAACACAACAAAATGCATTTATGCTGACAGAGATCCTATATTTGACTGGGAGGAGAAAATAAAACAAGGTTTTAAATCTGAATATTTTAATTAAAATATGTTGAACATGCAAAATAGGTGACTGTTGGTGACCACTTGCTAACAGGGAACAAGATTTTGTTTTGTTTAGACAGAGTACAGTGTCTGTCTCTGAAACATAACTGATGAATTTCTAATAGTTAAGCATATGTGTTTTCCAAGAACTGTGCAAAAGTGTACAAAACTTTATATGCTCCTTATCAAAGAGAACATTAAATATGGGAAATAATATGGGTTAAAATAAGATTGAGGAAAAAAAAAAAAAGATGGTTTCTTTTGGATTCTCTGGATATATAAGGAGCAAATGTCCTACATGTGAAGCATATTCTTCCTTGTCCATTTTCCCATTATATTTTTTTTCCATTTGTGCTCTCTATCTGTAAAACCAATACCATTTTTTATTGAAGAATAACTTGGTCTTGTTTATGCAGTAATATACAGTCAGATTAATTCCACTGTCCTCAGTATTTATTGCTACAAGATCTTCACACACAGTAACAATTCAATAACTACAGAAAAGATTTCCATTCCAGTTCCTGATAATAATGGCCAGCAGCCCTATGTGCACCTGTAAGGTGGCAGTATTTCCTGCAGAGTCAGCCATCATGTCCTGACTGTGGGAATAACGTTTGTTCCCCTTCATCTAACTAGTGGATTCCAGATAAAATGGAGGAATTCATTACATCTGCGTGCCTCTCTCTGTCTGTCTAATGAGGTTGTAACCTTTAGGTTTTGGGTTGCTGCCTGCCCCTCCATTGTCGGAAGTGCCCTCCATAAGGATGGAACACTTGCTTTAAAACATGTGTGAGATATGCATTGGTTTGTAACAAATATAAAAGTCTTGGATACACAAGGTAGTAACACATTCCCATTGCTCACTTAGAGATACATGAAGGCTGTTTATAAACACTTGCAGCCATAATAACTACCTCTCTTCCCTTTCCCATAGTACCAGTCAGCTGCAAACGTAGTGCCCAGAGACCGGAGTCTGAGAGTCACTACTGATGTTCATTTCAGCACCCATCTGCTGCCAATAACTTGTCTATCTTTGCACTTGTCTGCCACCATAACACCTTCCTGATCTGGATGCTGATGTAAACTTTAGTATACATAATACCTGCCAAAGGGAAGCTATCGTAGTTTCCGTTCATCTTGCTTGGTGTTCAAAAGCAAACTGCATACAATTACTTTGTATTCCCTACCTCTCAACTGAGGGATAACGTTCAGTAGCAGTTATGTGGCTACAGTGAAGAAACACCCCCAGGAAATGCTTGTGTGCCACAATCAAGAGTGAAAGATCCCTCACAAAAATTAATTTCATCACTCTTCGCCTTTCAGTCAGGCCAGGCACCAGGCTCATGGTTTCCAGACATTTTATAGCCCAATGGTGCTATGTGTGACCCTTCTGTTTGATAGATCCCTGTCCATAATCCAAAATCAATAGAAAAAATGGTGGTTTAATGAGGGTCTTTCTTGCTCTGATAAACACTGGAAGCAGCCTCAAAAGCGGTTTTCAAAATACATTTCTTTTTCTGTTTTGACCCCCTTTTGTAGTAAATCTCTGATTGACTCTGGTTGACTCTGCCAGCAAAGTAAGGCGTCAGTTTTGTAGATAGACAAGACTTTGGCTTTAGCTTAATAGAAAGTCACATGTGAATATCAAGATGAGAGTTAATGTCCCTATTTAACAGAAATTTGGAGTTTGAGTCTTGATATGAGTGAATCCCTGGTGTGCTGTGCTCTAAAGGCACCCTGGCCAACACTAGGACTTCAACATGTACTGCAACCCCCAAGGGTCACGATATCACTGGAAGTGCACTAAATGGTTCCTTTTGTCAGGCACCCACTCTGCAGCACCTTCCTGGTGATGTAACAACAGCAAATAGCAGTCCAAAATGCTTTAGAAGCCATTTGGTTGGTGGCAGGAGTCTGGATTCATGTACGCTGTGCATTGTGGTTATTGCAGTGCTTTGATTTCACTGAGATGAGGGAGGCAGCCCACCAGTTTCACATCCTTCGTCCTTCCCCTGCAACTCATAGGCAGAGGTACACACTGCTTGCCTCCATCTAAAGGATGCACAGGGATATGGTGTTAGGCAGAAGCAGGAGCATATTCATCTCTCTTTTTCGCTCCTGTACGATCACTACACATTCCAGTCCTCTAATGAGGATTTGAAATGGGCTGTGACACATTCGGATAGTGACTCTGTACTTCCAGCATTGGGATGCATGAAACACTTGTCTAAGCTGTAAGGGCTGTGATTGTTGATGTTTCTCTGCAGGAAAAACTTCCAGATACTTACAGGCTCTGAAAGAAAATAATTTGAAGTGTTATTGAAAGAGAAAATATTTGGTTATAGGCAACCTTTGGAAGATTACTCACAAACACTTGAACAACATGTAAGGCTGTAAGGCCCACCTTCCTTCTTGAACTGGGGCAGCAACTGGCTCAATTGGCATTTCAGATGTGATCCCAAGAAGTTTTTAGCAAGCAGTTTAATAGTTACATAGCAAGTAATGCAAGGAGTTGCATAGATTGTATAGTTTTATGTTTACGCAAAAAAAAAAAAATATAATTATTTCTAATTAGTCCATTTCACACTGAGTGGCAGATAGAGATATATTTTGTTAAATCACTATCTAATACAGAGGCTTCTGTGAAAGAAAAGGTGTATTTGTAGCATTGGGTGCATTTCTCCTTTTTAAAGACTGTCTTTGCGCGTATAGTGTCCTTTTTTTTTGTGAGCTGGGAATTGTAAAAAAATGTAAAGTAGAAAAGGACTTGTTTCTTAGACAAAGGAGAAATACTGTAAAATTGTGTAAATGTCACTACTCATGTTTTTTCATGTTCTGTGTAGCATAGTGTAAAATAGGCTCTCCAGCAGTGTTATTCTGTGAATTGTAATTTAAAAAACAAGCCATGCATGGTCAGAGATGTTATCTACAGGTCCTTTTGGTTGAGCTTTTGGTTTTGTTTGTTGTTTTCTCATTTTAGGTGAATTCGTTCTATGTTGAATTTAATTGTCCAAGAAACTGCATTTTTGTTTCTGTTTTATCTCATAAAGAACTTGAACAACTCTTTTAAGATTTTATTACACACAAAGCTCACCTACCGTTTGTATTGATCCTTCAGAAGTTGTGTCACATTTTGTGTGAAACAGGGAGATTTTCTTTTTATCTGCCTCTTCTCCCCCCACTCTCCCCACTTTACTTTCTGGAAAGATCCAATAACACTTTTTGTTTTTTCTGTGCCATGCAGGGTCAATATGGAAAACTGACCACAGACCTGTGTCCAAAATTTCTTGATATAAGTAGTTAAAAAGCTCACCTCTTCAGCGTTATGTAAACACATCTTGCAATAAAGCTTTATAAAGCACGGACTGGGCTGCTTCTTGTTTTGTTGATTAAGCCAGTCATGGGAGCTTGAGTGAGAAGTGGGTGGAATGGGGGGGTCATAGGTTGTTTTTATCATGTCCTTGAAGTACCTGCAAAGCCATCATGTGGACATCAAAACAGCTGCCATTACACCATCTGGGTGATCTGACCATAAAAAGCTGATCTTTTACGCCTTGTTTCACGGTTTGAGCCTAATTTCTAATCTTGAGTAAAGAAAATAAAAATGTGTCTCTAGTTCTCAAGGTTTTCAGTAATCCAGCCCTACAAATCCTCACTAAACACACGTGGGTGCCTCTTGCTGCCATCATCTTGGAGTTGGTTCCTGCCTAAAAAATACTTTCTGCACAGAGCACATTGCATAAAGGTATGAGATTTATAGGAGCAAACATTAATAAAATTAAAGACTACCTATATGTGGGAGAGCATTTCACATTGCCTCTGCATCAAGATGTGAAACACTGTGTCTCTCAGGGATTCAGAGCTGTAAAGGTGGCCAGTAAATGAGACATGCCTTTGCCTTGACTGAAATACATTTCCACACATCACCATGGAATGTAATTTTCAGGTGGCCACCTATTAGCATTCCTGGACAGGCAGCGGTCTTGCAGTTTTCTCTGTTTGCTGGTGTCTGAGTCTTTCTTTTATTGCTGTTTTAAGCACTTGAGAGAGACTGAGTAGACAGACGGGGCATCCCTGACCTGTAGAGCCGTAGCACAGGGACTCTTGCATCTGCTCTGCCCACAGGTTCAGTGAGTAGGATGAGGAGGGGGATCAAAGTGACACATAGAAACTCAAAATACTCGGATTTCCAGATTTGCTAGTCCTGCAAAAAGCTACTCACAAGTAATTGCTCTTTTAAGTTGCACTCGTAATAGGGTCAAAATACATTATTCAGAGACAGCTGCACGTGTTTATAGCAGCACCCTGGAAAATAAGGTAGGTTGACAAAGAGTCTGAGAGAGAATTTTCACCTGTGGTTTCTGAGACTGCGGGAGCTGATATAAAAGGCTAGGTATGTAAGGCTTCATAGGGAAAAACACCACCTTCCTCCTTTTTAATTAGTTTTTAAGGCTATTTCAAATAAAAAGGTGCCTTTTGGGATATGGCTGCATCCCTGAAAGAGCTGCTTAGCATTCCAGATGCACTGTTGTAAAGTCTAGAGGATGAAAGGCTACTAGCCAGAAATGTGGTAATGCTTTTTAAAATAAATATATAAACCAAGTTTATTGGCCAGACACTTTTCTTTTCTATCACAGCGTATCCATTAGCAGTTCTAAATTCCAGATGTTCAGTGACAATGCGTACATATATTTTTCAGACCTGGTGCCCAGTCAGAACTCATATGTTGTCACAGAGAAACCTCTGGCCTGTAGTCAGGGAATGAGTTAGTATGCAGATTATCCATTGTGCAGCTGCATGCCCTGGTTTATAGACCCTTCAGAACAGTTTGAGAACACACAACTAAAGAAAACAAACAAACAAACAAAACAAAACAAACTTTTTTTCCTATTATAAATTCTCCAAGTTTTCTGATGGGAATGCAGTTTGGAAAAGGGAAAGGGCAGTTCTCAAAGCTTTGCCTCTTGCAAGTTTCTTTGCGGGAAATTAAGAATGACGTCTGTACTCCATTAGAGAACTATCTGATGAGACAGTCCTCTCTCTGCTGGGAAATCCCAAAAGGAGCACAGCCTATGTGAAGTATCTTGCCAGTGAGGGCCTCTCTGAATGGCTTTTCCTGAGTGATTTTTGAGCAGGAGCCAGACTCACCCATCTGTGGAGGTATTCTGCTCAAAAATACTGATTTTCAGTTTCCAGGAGTCAAAATCCAGTTTTCCTTTCCAGTGCCCACCTCTCTC